CTGTTGGTGGCCTGCCTGGCTCTGGGCGCTGCTGGCTCCAGCCCCTTTGCCTAGCATGGGGGCTAGCCTCTGGGACATTTACCTGGGTTTAGACACAGAGCCCCACTCCCTGCCAGGCCTCGAGTCCTGAGCAAGGGTGTCCTCCTGCTGTCCCTTCTGCCAGAGGGCTCAGAAGCCAGCATCATGCACACAGACATGTGCATAAAACATGTACGTGCTCTTAGAAGCCAGCAAGAGGAAAAGTTTGTGTGATTACCCCAGGGTGAGGTTCCTGCGCCCCTGCCCTCTCCCAAGGGGTGGTCACATGCTTCCCCTGTCCCACTCCCATGGCTGCAATACCAATGTGTGAGAAGCAGCCTCACTTCTTACACACGTCTCCTGGGTGCTCAGGCAAGAATCCCTCTGAGCTCTAGCCCTGAACGGAGCCAATGGGCTGGGCTTGGGCAGCGCACATGGTCAGGCTGACGTGCTTGCCAAGGGACTGCGTCAAGTCAAGCCTGCGGGTGGCAGTGGGCATCCCTGCGGCCCTGCGCCAGGGCCCGGTGCTGCAAGGTCAGCACCCGTGCTCTAGTGCGGCGTTTTCGGAGCTGTGACCACGGACTCTAAGTTACGGTCCCCAGTTGCTAATTCAGCCAGCTGTTCGTGTGCTTCTTAGCCTTGTGGGCCCCTGTTCTATGAAGTGCTTGTTCAAGCATTTGTGTTTTTCTACTTGTTCTTCTGAGTCACTATTCTTTATATATTCCTGATACTAGTGCTTTGTCAGTTGTATATTGCAAATATTTGTCTAGTTTGGTGCATAACTTTTTACTTTTTTTAGAGAGAAATTTTTGCTATAGGGCACATACCATCACCAGAGAGACAGAAAGCAAAAAAATTACACCCAAAGGGGATGGCCACACCACAATCCCTTCTCCTCCATTCTCCTCTCAGGATTTTGGGCACACATGCACACATGCCCAGCTTGAGCTTTTTTTAAACTGCCAAGCCCAAGATTCAAACCACAGTCAACTACATGGGAGTCCAGCAATGTAACCATTATGCTATCTGCTGATCCCAACTTTTTACTTTTAAAACCTTCTAGTAGTCAGAAGTTCTTAATTTTAGTATAATCTACTTTATGCATTTCTTTCTTTATGATTAGTACCTTTAAAAAAATTTAACTTAACCAATCCATATGTACCCTAAAGACATTAGGTATTATTCAATATTACCATCTAAAAGGGTTTTTTCTTACTTTTTCTTTTAAATTTATGTCTCTAGTCCTTTAAAGCTTCGTAAGAAGTGCTGATATGTACTAAGGCAAGTCTTATATTGCCCTTTTTTGGTAAGAGTGTCTTGGTTATTCTTGACCCTTTCAAGTTCTGTATACATTTTAGAATTAGCTTTTCAAATTAAAAACAGACACTCTCACACACAAACTTGCTAGGATTTTGATTGAGATTGAATTGCATTATGGGAAATGACATCTTTTTAATATATCTTGCATAAACAATGAGTATTGTATATCTCTTCATTTGTTTGGATCTTTCTAAAATGGTAAAAAAAAAAAATAATTGCCATTTAGCCTTGTACGTCTTTTGCTAGTTTATTCTTAGGGACCTCTTTTTAAAATACTATTGTAAACAGCATGGTTTTCATTTTCTAACATTTCTTTCTGATATACAGAAATGCCTATTTCATCCTCATTCTTTAAAGATACATTAGCTAGGTATAAAATCATAGGTAGTAGGCCAGCCAGTGGTGTGGTTGTTAAGGCAGCTGGATCCCAAATGGCCAACTGTTCAGTTTGAGTCCTGGACCTGGCAGCTTAAGAAACACACTGACCACATTTGCATACATGCCCAAAATCATAAAAGGAGAATGGAGAAGAAAGGACTGCAGCATGACCATTCCCCGGTGCTTTACCACTTTCCTTCTTTCCCTCTCTATGCCTCTTTCTTTCAGGTAAACGCATATGCCCTGTAGCAAATTAAGAAAACAAACAAACAAACAAACAAACCTAGGTTAACTTTTGCCCACAGCGAATTAAAGGTATGATTCAGTTTTGTTTGGGCTTCCTTAATGCAAGTTAATTAATTAAAAACTCCTTGGGAGGGGCCAGCAGGTAGGTTGGTGGTGAAGGAACTGGACTCCCACATGACCAACCGCGGTTCAAGTGCAGACCAAATGACTTGCTTTCTTGCTTTGTCTCTCTCTCTTGCATGCACACACATGCTCTACAGCAAATTTAAAATAAATAAATAATTCTTTAAAAAAAAAAAAAAGAGAGAGAGAGACACCACAAGTTCGCGA